CTTATATACTGGACATTTCCAAGAAAATAAAATGCAAGGGAAACGTAACGAAAGGAAAATCCATCCCCCTCCCCTCATTACTTTAAAAAAAGAACAAACAAACAGAAAAAGCAAAAACAAAACAAAACAAATCCTTGGTCTCGATTTCTAATGTCGGTGATCAACTCTTGCTCGGCCTCGTTCTCAATTTTTCTCAAACTTCCGCTGGTCTTCAACAACGTTCTGATCTTCCGCGCTGACGTTCTGATCTTCCGTTGTAACTTGTTTCTTCAACAACGTGCATTCGTGATTTTCTTCAAATCAGGAAAGGTAAGTGATTTTTACAGTATGCGTGATTTTGTATATTGGTAGTTTGTATCTCGTGAAAAAAATCAGCGTTGCTTGTATTTGATTTCCACGAATACCTTCAACGTCGTTTTTTGTCAATTCAGTAAGTGTTCTCGAAAACAATAAAACAAATTGTTAGATTTCAACAAGTAGTGTTAACAGAGCAAAAATTTGCTTAATTATAGTTCAAACAAGATTGAGAGAACTGAGTTATTGATTTTGAAAGAACCTCGTAGATTTCTCAAGGAAAATTTTATAGCTTTCACATAGTCATGAAGTGGCAGGAATTTTTCCTGAATGTGAGACTTGTTTTGATTTGGTTCTATCTTCGATTCTCATTACAAAGATGGTTGTTAACGGTAGCAAGTTTCACAAAGTGATGCAACAACGAACTTTATTTCCACTTGAACCCGAACTGTGTTACTGTGAAACATCGGTATTTCATCGCCGGGTTAATAAAAGTTCCAGACAACCTCATTGCCCACCATTGCTAGAGGAACATAAAGACCTTATAAAGCAAATCACAGGCGTTTCTGTTCCTTGAAACGAACAGTAACACCTGTTATTTGCTCTATATTAATTATCTTTCAAATGAAGATGTTCTCATTTGTTGTTCACCATAGAATTCCGAAATTAACGGCTCCCGTTACTTTCGAATTTAGAAGCCAAAATTGGCCGCTACTTTAGGGGTAGCGTTACTTACGGATGGTTAAAAAACTTTAGTAATTCACAGTGGTTTCACTAAGAAACGTAACATGAATTTAAAGGTCATTCCGTTTATGCATGTTACTACCCACATGAACAAAGCGACAAAATTAACATATAAGAGGCCCTACATGTTAGTACTACATGGTTTGGGGCGAAAGTCAGTTATGGGTCCATTAAATCGCGATGTCACTACTCATCTGACTCTTTTGTGAAATTCATTTTTTAAATCATGCATAATTTAAAGAAGGATTCAGACTAGTTCCGAGCTAGAATCACAAATGATTCTTGACGTTGTTTAGTTGAGACAGTTTCGTACATACGGTACCAGAGTTCAAAGATTTTCACACATTCTTGTTAGATTGTTAAATTGATCCGTTATTATGATTGGTACAGGCTGATAGTTGACTTTCACTAAAAATCACAAAAAGGAGACATTTTTCTCGTTCCTGTTATACTGGGTTACGTTAAACACTCTTTGAAATCGCTTTTTACGTAGATCGAAAGTACTTCTTCAAAGGTTACATCACTGGATTCAAATCGATTCTTAAGTGTAGTTGAGTGGTAATTTTCGAAGTAGACGTTACTTTCGGGTAATAAATTTCCTTGTTGTTAATATCGTTCTTACTCGTTTCAGAACGGAACTTTTGGTGTAGAACTGGGGGCGTTGTATTGTTCTCAATTATTGCAACTTTTTATTTATTCAATATTACTCAGTAGAAGGGATTGTCCCTCAAAACGTCACTGAACTAGGGGGACAACCGACTTTGCAACCACGACACACGACTATTAGTTACTTCCGCATTTCCCGGCTATGAACATTTTTCTGTTTTGAATGGCAGTTCCCGGCCATGAACATAATTAAGTTTCCTTTATCTGTTTTGAATGGCATTTCCCGGCCATGAACATATTAGTTTTCCGACCTTTTTCTGTTTTGAATGGCAGTTCCCGGCAATGAAAATACTAATTTTCCGACCTTTTTCTGGTTTGAATGGCAGTTCCCGGCCATTAAATATTAATTTTCCTTTTTCTGTTTTCATAGCAGTTTCCGGCCATGAGCATATTAACGTTCCTTTTTCTGTTTTGAATGGCAGTTCCCGGCCGTGAACAAATTAGTTTTACTTTTATGTCTTTTATTTCACTTTTATTTTCATTTCATAACTACCATGCGCGCAGAGAACCTTCGAGCTTCCAAAATAAGTCGACTTATCTAGGAAGATCGAAAGGCCTCTGCTCGCAGGGTATTTCATAACATCCTCTCTTGTTTCATAATAACAATGTTTTGTTTTGTTTTGAAAGTAATTAAAAATAAAGAAAAAAAATGAATCTATTTCCAGTTCAATGAAAAACAAAATAATTTTACAATTTACTTTTACTTTCACCTTTATTTTCAATACAAAAATAATTAAAGTTCAATCTAAAATTAACAAATTTATTTCCTTTTTGCGAATGGCAATTGTTGGCCGCTATATACCTCTATATTTCGACATCGATTAAAAAAATAGATTCCATATTGCCGTGGGTCTTTTCAGTAATAGATCCTAGATGACGTCAAAATGTGGTAAAAACACTGAAAGAAGTGGCACACGAGCTGCAGGCGAGTATGTCACTAATGTTTTTACCAGTGGCACCCAACGACCGTTTTCTGGGAAATATCTCTTCGGAGCCCGTTAGAATGCCTAAAATTTTCTAGCCTGTTCCAGGCTGCGAGATAGTCGGGTCCGCTGAACTGAGAAAAGGCAAACACGAAAATAAAACGGGAGGAAACTGGGGAGAACAGGAGCGGCGGAGCACTATCTGAGAGCCTGGAACAGGCTAAAAATTTTCGAGAGCCCAAGAACAGCTAAAAATTTCGAAAATGTTTCGAGGTGACTGTTTCATTTGAGCTTAGAGTTTCGGGATTTGTCTGGTTTGTTCACTTAAGAATTTCGGATTTTGGAGTAATCTCTAAGAATCTGATTTCGGCACCTAGAAATTTCGTAGCTTTTGTAAACTAAGAATAGCAAAATTTCTGAAACCCGGCTGACAGTCTCAGCTGGACAACTGTCAAAAATAATCCCATTATCGAAAATTTCACACAACTGATTTCAGACCTAAGGGACTTGTAAAAAAAAACCAGGGGAGAGGGGGGTGGAAACAGAGGGAGGGTCACAACTTTTTGAGACTGCAGAGAAGGGAGGGGTCATGAAAAATGGGCCGTTAAAAGGGAGAGGGTCATGCAAATATGTGTCCGTGATTATGTAGAGGTTCACCCACAGAGAAAAAAGAAGTTCTTTATTTTGTAAAAAAACCTGGGAGAAATAGGAGAGTCGAGTGATCAGCTGTCAGAATCAGAATCGGACTCTTAACGCTATCATCTAAAATGTATGTATATGGCATTATAAAGAACAGATTAGAAATATATTTTGAGCTTTCATAATACTGACTCACCCTAGTGTATTGCAAGAACTAGATTTTATCATTTATAAAAGAGGGGGAGGGTCATGATATTTTAGGCCAAGGTCAAGGGGACGGTTAGCAAATTTCACTCCCATTGCAGGGATGGGCCACCTCATTTCCGAACCCAAATTTAAGATTCCAACCCCCCTCCCCCCCCTGCTAATTTCTGACAAGTCCCTAACGACCCTTTTCTGAGGGTAACAGGCTGACCGGTTACGCGTACGCTAGAGCTATGAGCTCGCGCATCGGACAATGATCATGCTGACTGAACAGGTGGTGACTCATGACTGTGAGGACTGACCGACTGTGTGAATATAGCGCCTGTCAGCTGGGCTGTCACAGTGCTGTCAGTCCTGTGTATCGGTCGATGGACACTGGACAGTATCGCAGCAGGACTACGGATGGAGGGATAACCTAGGCAACGGGCGTACGCTGACTGATTACCCTGTGTACTTATCACAGATGTTAAACTTAGCACTGTCACTGTCATTGTATCTGCTGTATTTATTGTATCGCTGTTAGGCATCGCATGTATCTGATCTATCATCAGTATCATGGGTTTCTAATTTTAATAAAGCCACATTTCTGACATTTGCAACTACAGTCAACTGTGCAGAAAATAGGCAACTTCCTGAACTTTCAGTGTTTCAGTGAAGTTTAGCCTGCGAAAACAGACGTTTTTTTCTTTTCTCGCTCATCGCCACCTCGCGGGGCGAGAAGCGAGGACAAACGACTGTTGGTTGTTTGGTGACCATAATTTGCAGGGTGATACAGGGCCGTTATCTGCGTTATATACAGGCTTTCTGGGGCTGGATTGGGGCTCATATATTCAGCTTACAGCTGTCGCGTCACGGTCTCGGGGTCACGGTCCAGCCAATTATCGACAACGAAAAAAATCACTCGGATGTCAAAATCCAGCTCACCGGAGTAATCAGCTTGTTAACAGCAGTTACCCTCATCAGGGAAAATTTTACTCGATGAAGGCAGCATTGCCGAAACGTCGGAGTTTTATTTGTAATTATCAGCGTTAAACTTACCACCTTCCCACTTTTAACAAACACTAACGCTACGCAGGAACCCCTCCCCCCCTTTAATTGTATCGTAAATTGTTCATCGAGTCTGTTACTTTTTGCAGTGAGGTTATCGGAATGAGGTAAGAGTGGATTTCCATTCATGGGTGGTCATGAGTCGTTTACACAGCTAGTTCGTGTGCCACTTCTTTGTTTTTACCACATGTTGACGTCCTCCGTGATCTATTACTGAACAGACCCACGGCAACATGGAATCTATTTGCTTTATACAATGATCAGAAAAGAAAAAAGCCCGATACACATACCTGCCTACCCTGCGAGCAGAAACTACATTTTCGCGGTATGAGCTGGCGTGCGAACAGTAGCACTATATGATGCTTACACCACGTACCTACCCCCGGGGTAGGTGTCAGGGTAGGGGGTAGGGGTAGGTAATTCCGGGATCCCCGCCGCTGACCAAAAGGATCGAAGCTCTGGGAACGAGAATGAATCGCACACTTCCGGTTTTGAAGGAAGGAGTCTACTTTTTCCGTGAGTTTCGCTTTTTGTTATCACGCGTTTGCTAAACTTGTATTAATAATGAAAGGAAGGTTTTATTTCAGTGTAAGATCGCTTTAAGGAAAGTGTCGATGACTGATACGTGTGTTACTTCTTTACTTCTGAGAGCTGCACAAACACAACGTCTAAGCGCACGTCTCTTATGACTGGCGGACAGCAATGGCCATGGTACCTAAGGAATTCCTGATGTTTATTACAGTCTACTCAGTAGTCGTTGCTGGTTCAGAACTCTTAGGTCATCAATCAACATGTCATTTTCAAATAATTTATTGCTCCTGCAAAGAAATGTACGGTGTAGATTTGACCGTGACTGTGGAAAAGTGTATTTACGACGTGAAAGAAGGAGATGCAAAATCTGTTTGTAGCAGAGAGACGGTCATGGAGAAATGTAGTAAAGGTGAGCTTTCTAAATTTTTGTTTGTTGAAGGTGGGATTTATTTTCCTGTAATTTGCCGTTTATACGGACACCGAGGAGGCCATAGAATGAGTCCGTAATTATAGGTGAGCAGGGCAACCAAAAAGCCCAGGGATCAATTTTTGGTCACATTCATTTTAATGATTTCATGAAGGATCTCTCTAATGCCATAGATGATTGTACCTTATTTATATATGTTGAGTCAATGACAATCAAAATATTGACCAGGATGAACATTATTGTGGATGATTTTATGAATTTAATTGAATGAAAAGAAATCATTCAAAATATCAAGCAATAAACTTTTGGAAGGACAAAGAGAAATCCTATTGTTGACCTGTGAAGGTTTTGATGTCCACGTTCAAGATGAATTGGAACTCCTTAGTGTCACTCTCGATAGTAAAGCTTAAAGTTTAAGAGTTAGATTCATAAAAACTGATGCAGGTGCCTATTTTCCGTCAAAAGAAGAAAATGTTGCCTTTAAGGTGGGGATAGAATGGGGGATTCCAGAAAATATCCGTACCATACCATGGACAGCTTCCATAGTTTAACCGCCCCTTCCCGTCAGAATTTCCAAAATGTGTTATCCCCTGATGCCTCCGGATTTCCAGTTCAAAGACCACCCCCCGCCCCCTCCTTGGCCTTGGAATTCCAAAACGCCGTCCATGGTTTGGTATGGATATTTTCTGGAATCGCCCAATATATCATGCTTTCCCTCTACCACCCTCCAGTTATTGTTAAGAGTTGTTGTATCATTGCAGTAGAAAAAGTTCAAACAAAATAGAAAAATCCAATCAACGAGCCCTTTGTTTTGCAACACAATCAACCACATCTTTAAAGAAATGAACCAGTGATATCTCCACTTAATCAAAGAATTGTTAAAAATGGTGATGACAGGTGTATAGTGGTGTGATAAAAAGGGACTGTGCGGGGAATCACTTGCTAGATGGGTATAAAATGCGTTTTCACTCTCACAACCTAATGAAAATGAATATAGGCTTGTACTATACTTAATTATTATTATAAGAACAGGTACCTACAGTATGTGGGATATGTCATTTATTCCTTAATTAATCGATTGATGTTTTCCCATATCTTCCTTTTCAGATACTTTCTCTTTACGAAGGCAGAGACGTGCGGGCTCTTTAAATCTCATTTGTAATAATGGAACAATACTACCTCCTGTTTCGTCGCCTACCAAAAGAGGCCCTCCCAATGTAAACATGATCAGTGGTAATTCACAAAATGTTATGACAGATGACTACGTTAAATTCCAGTGCGAAGTGTTTTCTAATCTTGCGGCTAATGTAACTTGGCTACTAAATGGTTTACCATTAACTGGACAGATGGCCGACGATAGGTATTCATTTTTGGAATGCAGAACCATTTTAAATATTAAACATGTGTTAAGCAAAGATGCTGGGAACTATACCTGTCTTGTTAAAAATGAGATAGGACAAGCAATGGCATCTTCTTATTTGACTGTGAAAGGTAAGTAAAATTCAAGCATCAATGTTATTTTCTTGTTTCTAATTTTGTGTGCACTGAAGATAACCACTAAAGTCTGTATGTGTAGCAAATATATTAATGTATAAAAGAGCAGACTAGTATTTTACACAACAATAAAATTAACAAATATTTTGTTTTGATTTCCATAGCGAGATATGAAGGCCCATACATACTGGACTTTGGACTAGAGGGAAAGACAGGAATGCAGGGTGTAGCAGTTACTGGGACGTCTTTAAATTTAACCTGCAGAACTCAAAACACTGCTGTTGACAATTTTTTTTATAAGGATGGTTCTCCAAAGAGAGAGGATAGAATACGTTTCACATGGTATCAAAGGGAAGATATAGAAGACAACATCAAGGTTGCCAAACTTGAGATAAAAAATGTCACATTAGCAGACTCTGGAAATTACACTTGTGTGTCAAACCTCCATGGTATTGCAAAAAAAAAAACATTTCCTCTGAGAATCGGTATGTATTCTTTCAGGGATCTTTTACAATTTTATACCTCTTGATTAGTAATGTAAGTCATTGTTAAACAAATTAATTCTGTTCTTATTTTCTTCAGAAAAAACAACAGTAAATTTAGTGTCACTGACATTAAATTAACAACCTGTTGGCAGTTTAGCTCAGCACGTCAATGTGTATAGTTAAATCTAAAATTATACCTAAATGATACATAAAATATTTTGTTGGTGCTGGCATTTTTTTAGAAATGCTTTTTTGTTGTTTTTTTTTCTAATCTTGAAACCATCTGGCCAAAACACTTACGAGTAGTTAACACGTACATATACAGACTACAGGTGCACAAGTGGTAAATATTAATGTACCTGCAATCCTCTGTCTCTCCTCTATACTCCAACCACATCTGATATTGTTTCTTAAATTTTTAACCTTAACTATATGAATATGAATCAAGCCATGAACGTTCGAATAATAATCTGACAATTCCTGAGTTAAATCATGTACCTGTACGGCCTTTTTCTGAAGAGAGAAAGCTCTGCCTTATAATTAGGCTTTGGAACTGTAGCTTTGAAAAATTTCTTTGTTGAGTTCTCGTAAGTTGGTGCGAAGCCCATGCCGCTTTTGTAGTTTTCTCAGACAGTGTTTACAAATATGTTGTGATGTGTCATGCATATTAAATTGTAAAGAAATAATTTCCTCGTACTCGTTAAATTTTCCATGGCGTCGTACAAGATTTCAAATGGTTTGCTTAATATTAGTTATTTTTAATTTTTGTATTGGTTTATAGTAGTTTGAAACATTCATGTTTAAACAAGTCTTGTACTCATCTGTGTAATTTGGATCGAGAATACAATTTATTACTTACTTTTTATGTTTAACAAAGACATTCAGAAACTTTGGCCACAGTCTCATAGAGCTGTTTATCAACAAAACATGATCATAAATTCACCAGATGTTAAAACTCTAAAATTATGGCATGTATGTGGAATTCTCCTTATATTTTTCTCGATAAGAATAAGCAGTCTCGAGCATACATGTGTCGGTATGCATGATGTGAGATTGAAGGGTTAATGGCTTCCGGGCACAAGGATCATCCCTATATTGTGTACATGTGAGTTGGCATGTTTAATGATAATTATCCTTATCATTATATGAAACAAACAACAACTTCATCTCTTAAAACTTTTTGTTGTTTTCCAGTTTGTCCTCCAGGGTCTTATCACAATTCTTCAGCAGATGAAGCAGTGAGCATTACCGACTGCCCTCCAGTAGACGACCCTACAGATGCAAGTAATCCCAAGATGGAGAAAGGTTACTTTATTAACTTTCTATGTAATTTGCCATACTGCTTTTGAAAGTACAGTGATTGGGCAGGAGCTGTAGTACATTAGGGAGATCAAGTGACTGGGTAATTGTTACAAAAACAAGACCCTCATAATGGGGTTCAATTTGGGCTGCCGACTGTGCAATGCAGAGTAGTTATATTTTTTTGTACACTTTCTGTCCAGATTAAGTGCATAGCTATAGTTCTACAGTAACTGGTGGAATGGGAAAGAGATATACGTACTTGGTCTTTTAAAATAAGAGAAGATTGGCAGTATTTTTAACTGGGACATTTCGATCTATAGTTATAACGCGCCCCTAATCTCACTGCCCCCCAAAACAAGTTTAGAATACTGTTAAATAACAGTAAAATTTTTTTCTGTTTCTTAAAACTTGCAAACAAATTAAGTTTCAGTTTTATTTCTGTGGGATATTGCATTTAAAGCTCTTCTAACTACCCAAGTGAAGATGTTTCCATTTGATGGGGTGGTCTAAGTATGGTTTATTTTGGTAGTCTTAAAGGGTCTTCCACCACTTACTGCCTACTCAATCTCATCCACAACTGGCTCTCTGAGCTTGATAATCCTGGTTGTTATTTGAGAGCCTGCTTCCTTAACTTTAGCAAGGCGTTTGACAGGATTGAAAGGAGAAAACCCATTTTATAATGAAGAGAATGAGATCAGTCACAACAGTTGCTTATGTTAAAATTGTATCACTAATTTGTCTACATGTGCATGTAGTTCTTTGAATTCATAACAATATTATTAATTTTAATTTGTGCAAGAATGAGCCAAATTCCTTTTAACATTCTTGTTTTCCTTCAGGTGAACAACAGTCTAGTCACATTACTTCTATGCAGATTGCTGGTATAGTCTGTGGTAGTCTTGTTGCTGTTGTCATCCTGGTTTTGGTATCTCTCTGTGTTGTGAAAAAGTGGAAATTGCTGTCTTCCCACAAAACCAGAAGAGCAAGTTCCAACCCAAATAATTTGTTATCTTTTCCTTGTGAGCTACCAGTAGCAGACAGTGATTTGAATGGTTTGTGTGAGCCAAGTAGCATTCAATGTTCACAGATTGTTAAAAGACCACCTGAAATTGGTGAGTTTGTATACATGTATGTGGCATTGACTTGTTTGTTTGTACTCCAGCGTTTTTTATGTTTCATAGCCTCTAGGTACTGTATGTTTTTCATCTTTGGAAACCCAGTTAATTGGCACGGAATATTCAAGGGCAAAAGTTGTTGAGCTGTGGGTTATTGTGAGTGGTTTGAGTTATTGTGACCAATCAGAAACAGGTTATTCATGTGCCCCTGTAAATTTTCAGTAAATAGAGAATACTTCATGGAAAGTGCTGGTGTACGGTATTTACACACGAGTTGTTGACGTAAAAACAAGAAATCTCACTCGTTCTATTTCTGACACAAAAACGAGTGGGTAAGTACTGTACGAAGCACTTTGCATGTGGTATTGTGTTTATTATATACATACGGAGACACTCATCATTTTGGTGGCCTTTTATTTAAAATCTTTCCAAAAGGCTTAAATTTGCCGCTACACACCACGAAATAACAATGAAAACGAAGTATCGGCTTTTTAGTAGAAACGTTTCTTCAAAACATAAATGACAGTATGGATATGAGGTAATCCAAGAACTACAAGTAATCTTAATTGTTTGTTCTGAATGTACAATTGAAAATGAGTGAATTTAAGTAAAATGGCCGGTTTCAATATAAGCTTAAGCTTATAAATGGAAGACAAAGTGTCTCCAAGAAAAAGCACAACATAAGCTTACGTCTTGTTCTGTTTTTCCCCTTCCGCTGTTGTTTCGCCGGCTCTCCACAGTTTTTTTATCGACAGTGAAGCAAATGAAACTATTCCACTCCATTTCTGAAATGTTTTTCACTTTTTTAACGAGAAAAAACTCTGAGAGAAAAACTTTTCTCCTCAAATGTGTGCGAAGCGGCGCTCAGCAAGCTGCAAGGAAAGGCGGGAATTTTTGCGCGAAACTCACACACCTCTGTGGCTTCTGATTGGACGTATCATTCTTCTCACATGTGAAAAAACAGCGTTCGCGATTCTGATTGGACGTATCATTTTTTTCACGTGTGAAAAACATAGTTCACTCCCCTGATTGGCTAGAACTCATTTGTGTATCAAAATTTACAATGCAACTTGTTGGTGAGTGTTTCTTATTATGTATATAATAAAAGTAATTGTCCCTGGGCTCTACTGTTCTTATCCCATTCTGAATAGCTGCCCCTTGGTCTTCAAGCATATACAGCTATTTCAAGAAAGGTTGTCGGAAAAAGTGCTCACAACATTCCTGAAAGGTATTGTGAGTGATTTTGAGTGCACTGTTCTTCAAAGAAAGAATGGCACCTGAGGCCACAGACATATGTTTTCGAGTGCTAAAGGAAAGCAACAAAAGTAGGTTCGACAGCTACAGTTGATAGGAACAGTGTATTGATCATATCCCATATTGTCCCATGCACATTTTTTCTGACACCCTTTCTTGAAATAGCTGTTTATCTCTGTAAAGTGTGTACAGTACATCTTTTGGTGGGAGGACTGCGCAAAGATTTTATTTTAAGGTGTAATGCATATGTGATATGTCCCTATGAAAAAAAGTAAGTTTTTCAGCAGTAACCTTGTAGCCTGTATCATAGGAGAGCACTGTATGAAAAACAATCTCATCCTAATTAGTTGCTCTTGGGCCTGGTAAAGGATTATAGCGGAGCTCTCGCGCATGACGCGCGCCAGCGGAGCACCATGGGTAGGAAAATAAAGTAATCTACCCATCCGAGAAAATTTGGTAATCACGTGACCGTACACCGCCCGCCCGCCTGAGCGACCATCCGCACCACAGGCATACCAATGTAAAATAACTCAATCAACAGGTATGGCAACCCAAATGCAACTCGAGGTTATTTTGGCGGGAAATCGCATAACCACTGGCGTCTTGTAAAGCAGAGACAACGAAAGAGTCAATCAGAGGAAAGCGGAAATTGTTTCTGTATCTGTGTTGTCTAAAGTATTTAGTTTAGATTAATTGTCATGTCCACAAATTTGGAATATAGAGCAGGAGAAAGACAGAGAAAAAGAGAGAGTAGGCGGCAGGCCAGTGAAGCTCAACGAGAAAAAGGGCGACAGAGGTCTAGAGCGAGAGATAAAAAACAAAAGAGACATTTTTTTTTGGAAGAACAACATAAAAATTTTGTAGCGGCGGTGACAAAATGGGAAATGCCAGCGGCCACCAATGCAAGGTGAAAATGAGTGGCAGTGTAAAAAAAAAGTGAACGAAAACACGTACGACATTTCCTCCATAAAACGTGTAACTAAGAAGTTTCTGGAAGTTTCATGTTGTAGTCGTGCAAAACAACGGCAAAGAAATGTACAAAAAAAGTGTGCTGCACGTGCAAAGTAACTTTTTTTGTTAACTAGAGCTATTGTTGTTTTTCACCATTCTCCGGCGTTGCCTTCGCCGCTTAACATTACACGATTTTAAGGTCGGTACACACTAGGCGACAAGTTGCAGCGACATGTTGCGGCGACATATTGCAGCGACAAATCGCTTCGTGTGTACTGGAGAATTTTTGTGAAAATCTTTGTCGCTGCAACAGAATTTGTCGCCGCAACAAGTCGCACAGATTCAGTCTGATTTGATTTTTTGCGACTTGTTGCAGCGACAAAATTCTGTTGCGGAGACAAAGATTTTCACAAAAATTCTCCAGTACACACGAAGCGATTTGTCGCTGCGACGTGTCTCCTCACCTTGTTGCTGCAACTAGTCGCCCGACCTGTACACATGGAGTGATCGGTCGCCGCGACGTGTTGCTGCAACTTGTCGCTTAGTGTGTACCGATCTTTATATTTTTTTGAACAAACTTTAAATATTATCGAGAGCTTCGCTTTTAGCCCTGGCTAAATCTATATATCATTGAGTCTCCATTACATGTGTAAATTCTGTGGTGGGTTACTGTAGGGATCTACAGTATGCCACAGGGCTTAATAGACATCAGAAGAGTTTTGGTTAGGAGTAAGGTGATTAACCAGGAAACCAGGACGTGTTAAAAAACAGGGTCACAACTATAATTTTGAACGTCATTTGATAGTGCATATGAACGCATTGCCTTAAATTGAAATCCAGCTTAGCAGATGCCAATGTGTCCAGGGTGACCCCAATACCAAGACAAATGGAGGAATTTTCAAAGTCAGTAACCATTAGTTAATTGCTTGCTAATGTCTCCAGAATCCTTAAAATATTAAATTTTAGTATATGAACCTCATAACTGATAACGTAAATTTTTTACTCTTCGTTTCAGACTGTAAAGCCAGGTATGACGTGTTTATCTGTTACAGCAATAAGGACGTTACCTGGGTTAAAGGTCTATTGGAAGAGCTTGAAAAGCGTGGCTTTATCTGCTGCGTTGACTTTAAAGACTTTATTCCTGGGGCAGCAATTGTAGAAAATATTTCTCAAGCAATTTACTGTAGTAGGAAAACAGTCGCTGTTCTGACGCCAGATTTTGTGAACAGCGAATGGTGTAACCACGAGCTTCAGAAGGCTCTGCAAAGAATACATTCACACCAAGTTGTGCCAGTGATGTTGAGGAGCTGTGCCGTACCTTTAATACTGCAGGGCACATCATATCTTGACTGGGAAAACTGCCACGTTAAACCCAATTTTTGGCCAATGCTTGAAAAAGCTTTAAGGCTACCTAGTAACAATTGCAGCAACTCTGTTAAAAACAACAGCAGCTGATCTTGTGATGACCACCTTGTATGCCTTTTAGGCCCTGTTTTCAAGGAGGGAGGAGCAAGGGTTACCCTAGCACTCGCACATTTCTTCTTTTTTACACGACGTGTTTACGAGGCAGGTAAGGTTACCCTAGCGCTAGGGTAACCCTACCTGAGTGCTAGGGTTACCCTAGCAAGAGGGTTACCCTACCTGCCTTGTAAACACTCTGCTAGGAATAACTCGCCTACCGGGGACAACGTGCCTCCTTAATGCGTGACCAGTAATCTTGATAGTTTGAACGGAATTATCCAATTCGTGAGCTAAATTATAAACATCTGAATAATATAAGGTATTTTCTGTATACGATGATATATTTCAATTTTTTCGTGAATTTAACGTGTTTTCCATAGCGAACTTCAATCTTCGACGGTACAAAGAATTTCATGCATGACGAAACACGTCCGTAAGGTTGGTAAAGTTGACCCGGGTGATAGGGCCTGTGAAATTTGCTTGTAAACCAGAGCTATCTTTAACCCGCTTGCTAGGGTAACCCTAGCACAAGGGTAACCCTCTCTCCTTGCAAGCAGGCCCTTAGGTGACGAATAATCGAGTCAGGATCGCTGGCTCTACTTTAAGTTGCAGACTATCGGTGCAGACTATAGGTATCTTGCTAGCCAATGTGATAATGGAAATAACGAAGAAGAGAAGGGCAAGTACAGGAGCGTCAATCTCCCTCCTTCCTAAACTTCGTAAAGCATCGCCTCTACCTCAACATACCACACGAAGAGGCGTAACCACGGTATGTCGCGCATACGAAGATTGTTTTTATGGAAAGAAAGCCCCTTTACCTACCGAGTATCTAAGATAAATACTCTATCTTATATTAACAGAAAACTCGTTCCAATTTTGGTGCAAAAACTACCTACAGACCCATGGAACAACCATGGGAACAAAGATGGTCGTTGATTTTGGTAACATCTTCATGGCCAGAATAGAAAACCTTAGTTCTCATCGATATCTCAGGGGCACCCAACGAGAATATAGTTCAAAACCACCTAAACATAGCATTGTTAAACGTATTTTAGTATTTAAACGGTAGACATAGGCATATTTTCATCCCCTAAAAATTTTTCATCTGTTAGGATTTTCTATCTGAAAATCTAGTGATCCGAAAATTATAGGGATCAAAACTAACCTTTTCGAAAATTTCAGCCAGAAAAAAGGCTCCCGAAAATTCTAGGTGACCTTGTTTGGGTAAAAATCTGTTAAAATGGGCAATTATACCATTTTTTAGATGTTCGAAAATCCTAGGAGAGGCAGGCAAACAAGAAATTTTACAACAAATGTTCCGCCAATTCTAGATCTTAAATCGTCTTCCGAATATATATTTTCCGAAAATTGACTTTGGGTGCCCCTAACATCTCTCTCCTCCCAACATTTTCGCCTCAATTTCTCCCCCTCCCTCTTCTGTTTCTCTCCCTTCTTAGAACAAGTAGATCATCATGGATACACAATAATGCTGCAATTATAAACTAATCACTGATCTGTGGAAATACCCTGGCATATTTGTCTTTAGCATGTGATGATACTGAGTCCTCGACCTGTACGAAAGCATTTACATCTACAACTATTTAAGTTTTTTAAAATTAATTCACAAAGGTTGCCCATACACGTGAGTTTGTCAGCACTGTAGAGTTATACCGTATAACGTAAATGTGAATCATACAATAAACTATTAATAATTCCGTTAAATAAATGTATGAGAAGATTAACCAGGGGCACCCAACGAGGAGGAAGATTTAAAGGAAGTCTGGTTGGGGCTCTGCTGCTGAAACCCTTCGATTTTGACCCTGTTTAAGGCAAACTGCAGTAAAATTGCAACCCTGTTTAAGGACACTAAATTGTGAAATTGAATAGTTTTTTTTAAATTTGAAGATCCAATAAACCTATACCATGCAGAGCTTAGAAGTAGTGGGCACAAAAAAGAATGGGCGCGGCACATACCGAGTGAGCCAAACATGGACGTTTCCCCTCTCTGAGCGCGTGTGTCCATCCGTATACTCCCAAGGGAACCATTTTCCATATATGGAGGCGAAGAAACAATGCATTTGAAGGTAAAACAACAATGCATATCGTCAAGATCGGTTGCGTACATGATTACCAATTTTTCAGGGCAGTTTTCTAAAATATACACAAGCGTACTTGTCAACCAAAGTTTTCATGCTTAAGATCAATTTCACTGCAGTATTGTTCAAAAGTAATACTAAATTTTCAGTGTTTCTAATGTAAATCACATGTATGTATTCGATTCACACGTGTTGATTTTATGCAACTCGATAGTTTCACCTTCCATTCATGAAGATTTACATGCTTCCTGTAAACCGCTCGGGTTAAAAATTCGGTCCATATATGGAGGCGAAGAAACGATTCATTTGTTAAAGATGACATATCGTCAAGACATCATGACTAATTCTGGTTGAGTATTTTTTCCCGTCTTTTTGCGTCTCTTTTTCTTCAACGGGCATAAAAGATGAAACGTGATCAATGACGTCAAAAAATTATTTGGTAGAAAACAACACATGATCGCAAAAGATCGTGTGAATTATCAGGAACTACAGGAAAATACATAGATTTTTCAAAAAACAAATTATTTGATCAAAGGGATAACATGGACGTAAGCAAAAAATGAGAAAGAAAAAATTTGAATAGTATTTCTCCATGAGTTTCAAATTCTAAATATCTGATAAAAAGGTAACATTATCCGATAACCAATGACATATCTTTGATCTTCAGATTGACAAAATCGTGGTACTTTACACAAAGAACGACGTTGCTTTCTCACTACATTCGCTCGTTCAATCCTGTATCTCAAGTCTTCTTCACAGTGGACTCTCTTCAGAAAAAATGTTCTGAGCTGAACTTTATCGAAAATCTGATACAATGAAACCTGCATTAAGCGGACACCCTCTGTTAAGCAGACAGTAGCACAAGGCCTCGAATTTATTTCCCTTATTTAATTAAATGAAACCTTTATTAAGCGGACACCCCTATTAAATGGACGCGGACACCTAAAATGTACCTGAAATGGAGTATATAGATTTAGCCAGGCCTAAAAGCGGAGCTCCCGGTTTCATTTCAATAATGATAATCATGATGAAGATCGTTTTATTCACACTGAGCATGCACAATAGTTGTAAATACTGATTCCCGCCACTGGGTATCGAGATGTAGTCTATGTAGGCTCTGTGTGAAGTCGTAGAAAAATATGAAGCGGAAAACTGATCCTTACGGCAAGGCGATGAAGAAGTAAACAAAAGAATAAAACAAAAAATACATATTTAAACAAATTGCCCAATATTTCGGTTTGAAAGCAAACCTTCAGGAGCTAAAAGAAAAATGGAAATAAAACTAAAATTTCGTTACAAATAAGAATTTGGAGCCCATTTAATATTAAATGAGTTTCAAATTCTCATTTGTAACGAAAGTTTTGTTCAAAAGTTAATCGCCGGGTATTCAAATTATATTGGCATCATATTTATACATATTCAATTAGGCTTTTTATCATTATGTATGAAATATTTATGAGTTTAAAGGAGATGCATGCCCCCCAAAATTTGCTTCATTCAACTGAAATCCAACCCCCTCACCCATGAGAGGTGACAGAGGGCTTCTGCAAGAAATTAAGCTTTATTTGATGATACACTAGCCTTAGGGAGCTGGTGGTTGAATTTATCATAACATCAATTCTCAGAACAAATAGTTTTTGCAGTTTTAAAAGAGTACTTCAACTATGCTTGTAACAGGTTAACAAGAATTCATCTGGGGACAGGAAAAGTTGATGTTTGCCTAAGCCTGTCAGAGGATGAATTGTTTTTCATCTGTTTGCTGTAAATTATGACTTATCACTCTTTTTTCTTAATCCCTCAAGCAAAGCAAATGAGAGGATGACACATTTATAATTGTTTAGCTGCACTTTTTTTGACAAATTAATCGTAATAGATCTGAGTGTCGATTTGAGTAGAGTCCAGTTCGGTCTGTAATCATACGAGTGATTAACAAAATCGGACGACCGCATAGCACTAATATGATAACAGACTGAATTAGACGACACAAAGTTCTGTAACCAATTAATCATTGCTTAATTTATTGTGATAACTTTTTTTCCAAAATTGAAAACACAGGACATTCCGAGAATTTTTTGCTAGAAGTGAAAATAAATCCTCATTCAAGTGTGCAATAGGTAGATTTTGTGACATTAATTGTGCAGTCACACTTCGATACTCTTTTGCGTTACGTGTTATCAGTGACATTCTGAGGAGCAGTTGTTATGAAAGTTATGGACGACACTCGTTAAGCGCAGATGAAGTTATAAGGTGCTTAGGACAGTGTATATTTTAACACTACGTGAGTTTGCCAGACACGAGTTCACAAATCTTTGATTGGAAACCTTCGGCTGAACCTTGCCAGACACTCTTTCTTTCTCTTTGACCGGAATAAGACTCGGCCCAAAACAAGCAAGACGAGCGAATGATTCAACGGCTAGCTTATCACTAGAAGAACGATTGACGATTACAGAAATTCGCCGACCATCAAATTCTGTGCTGACTTATTCCCTGCTCACAGGTATCCTTTTGCTATAAAGTTTAAAATAAGACTAGAATGCGCGAGCGTGAATTGATCAAACGTCCTTTTAATTTCTAAGGCTTACTTTCCGGCAAATGAAATGAACTAAATGTAAAAAGTGAAATAGAAATATCGGAAAATTAAACTTCTAATTAAATCTTTTCTTATGGTTTAGAAAAAACTATTCTTGAAACTGAGAATGATTATGTTTTGATCAAAGCTGTGTAAATCGAACCGAAATTGCGTTTATTTCCTATATTTATCTCACCTATTGTACGGAATATGTGTGAACATCTTCATTATGAATCGGTATATTTCAAAGAGCTACACAAGGAGCAAGAATACTATATACAGAGCGGGGGCAGCTGTAGTGTCACCTATTACTAGTTGTATTTAACTGG